CTCCATAAATATGCAAAAGCGTGATACAAAATAATACACTACAACAGACATGCCAAACTCAGGCCCGGGGGCTAAATTTGGCCCATGACATAATTATATTTGGCCCACGAGATTATATCAAATATGTATTAGAGCTGCCCAACAGCTACAGATAGACTATAGAGACATTATTTATTTGAAATTTTGTTATTATTTTATATTCTGCTTGTTCTGGATTCAATGTTTAAGCAAAACTATTACTAAACATTTATTTTAATAAGAAAAGGTTTAACATTACATATCTTAAAAGAAGAGAAAACATGCAGAAGTTTTTCAATAAATATTTAGTTTGGCCTACGACTTAGTCCCAGTTTTTAATTTTGGCCCTCTGTAAATTTGCGTTTGACACCCCTGTGCTACAACTTCACAAACCCGATGTGATGTGCAGTAGTTTCAAGAGCAGAATGCACACTGTTGTGATAGAGCTCTGAAGGGAGAGTTACTTAGCATGGAGAGCAAAAACTTATTAAACATAATACAACAGCGTCTATGAATATAGCATTTTCAAAACAATAGAAGTTAAGTCATTTTTAATACCTTGAACAGCTATGATAGTTGAATGAAAATCTTTTTAAGTTTGTATATTATATTGTAATTATAATGGTGTTTCTTGCCCTCCACTGGCAACATGTTACAATTGCTAAGTAACAGCACAACAATTAATAGATACTTATTATAAAAGTGTGCATAGAGTTGACGGGTATAACAACTGCATCCTACCAGCTCTATGGGACCAATTCATGTATATTCAAACACTGATTAACAGGGATATCGTATCGTCAAATGTCTCACAATAACATCGTGGACCATCACAATATATCGAATTACGAGTCTCTTTGCTTAAATTAAGAGTTATGGTGCAGCAATGGCTAAAAAAAACAGAGGTAACTACATAGACCATGATCCTTTGCTCGATTTCAGTGTAGACTACAAGAAGAAATAACAGTTATAAGCACTTTGAAATATTAATTATTTGGATTAAGTCTTGTTATGGTATTTTAAGTAGCATATTCACAGTTTTGTCGCAATAAATATTGTACCGTGAGATTTGGATATCGTTACATTCCTACTGATTAAGCATGCCAACTTTAAAAAAGAAAAAAAAAAAGAAAAAGTGATTTCAGTCGGATTTGTGTGTAATTAACATCTGAAGTGAAGGAGCTGCTAATGCCAACTTGCAAATGTGAAACAAAAACATCTTAGACTTGAGAATGTGATGCGAGCTCAAGCGTGGCCTATTATTAAACATGAGGCAACAGTTCGGTGCAGGTTATAAATATTCACCAAGGTTCTGGGTTCACTTCGCCGAAGAGGATTTGTCAGGAAATCTCACAGGTTTTCAAGTCTTCTCATTTGCAACTTTACACCTCAATAGTTTGGTAGAATTATTTAAAGGACCACGGTGTAACTTTTTGGTCGGGAGTCCGTCACCTGCTTGTGTCTGTGGATTTGTCATTGCTCTGCCTGGAATGTTCCCCAGTATGGCATTAAACCAGTCTACCTTACATTTATTCAATTACAGATGGTTTTATAGTTTAAAAATACCTATAAAACAGGCATTCTGACTCTGAGTTGGGTTAGGGTTAGGGTTAGGTCTCCACAGATCTGACCCGTAACTTGGTCTAGTTTGGTCTCCATGAAGATAGAAAACTTTAATGCCATACTGTGAAACATTCCAGACAAAGCGGTTCATGTATCATTTGTTCTTTTGAATTTGAATTAAGAATGAAAATAATAAAATGGGAAAACAGTTTATTTCATTTTTCCATTTTAGTGTCAAACACGCAAAAAACAGATTTACCTTTATTTTCAATATCTAATTTGAAGTTTGTTTCAAATAACAACAATCAAAAAACTGTCTTGGTGCCTAATTAATTTTTATATTTTATTCTCTGTGGTTTATTTGCCCCAGACGTTATGCTGTAAAGTCAAACAAGGATCTATAATAAAATCTATTTTTATTGCAGATCTGTGGTGTCAACTGAACAAAGGAGAGTTTATTGCTGCTTCCTGTTTCTTGTCATGGAGTTCAACAATTACTTTCTAAGACACAAAAGTAAACATGTTGCTATAAAACAGACATGTCAAACTCAGGCCCGGGGGCCAAATTTGGTCCGTGATATAATTATATTTGGCCCACGAGATCATATCAAATATGTATTAGAGCTGTCCCAAAGGCTACAAATAGAATATAGAGACATTATTTCTTTTAAATTTTGTTATTATTTTATATTCTGCTTGTTCTGGATTCAATGTTTAAGCAAAACTATCATTAAACATTTATTTTAATAAAAGGTTTAACATTACATATCTCGAAAGAAGAGAAAACATGCAGCTGTTGTTGGAAATTTTCAATAAATATTTTGTTAGGCCCACGACTTAGTCCCAGTTTCTAATTTTGGCCTTCCAGTCGCAGAATAATATATCCAATAAAATATCCAAGTTGAAATCAAAGAGACTGTTTTTGATTGGTGTTATATGAAATTAACTTCAAATTAAGTATTGGAAGTAGAGGTCAGAATCTTTTCTTTTTTTTTACACTAAAGCGGAATAATGAAATACCAAACTGTTTTCCCATTTTATTGTTTTTTTGTTCTTAATTGAAATTTTTAAAAAACGAATGGTACACAGATCCAAAACAATAACATCTCCATCGAGAAAACCATTTGACGAACCCGCCACAATAAAAGTTACACAACGCACCTTTAAAGAACAGAAAATAACTGGCGCTAGGCAACAATAAAATCCAACAGTTGAATCTAAAATCACACGCATAATATATTATACTTGCTAATGTTATCGCACAAAGCTGGCATCACATTCCCGTTGCTTTACAGTAATCCTATATAATCTCTCATATACATTCACTTATTCACATTGGATCTGATAAATACTTAGACTTAATGCGTCTCTCTTTTACATTACATTGGTGCTATGGCCCAAATACAAGTTTTCACAGAATGCAAAGCTAGAAGACACAGATGTGCTTGTCAACAAACTGTACCAAACTCTACTGTGCAAAAGTCAGATTTTAAAAAGGAGAAAAAGGACAAAAGAACAAAATAAAATCACGAGTACTTGGAAATCACAGACCTCAAGGCACTGGCTCTGTCTCGCAACGCTACAGTGCTCAATGTTGCTCAGAATTTAAAGGGCCTATATCACACAAAAGGCAAACATTACAAGCTTTAAGGCATGTTATAATATTGTTTCCTCCTTAAAAATTTACCCGGTGTTGCATCCGGTGAAGAAGAACTCAGCCTAAATGTGCAGGGTTTGTGTGTTGAAAATACATGAATAAAAAACAACTCCAGGATCATTTGTGATGAGGAAACAACATTATAACATAGATGAGAAAATAGCGTAAGATAGGCCCTTTAAATTAAATTAATTAAAACCTTTATATTGATTTGAATTCAGAATATGAATCCTGATTTCACTGATTTTGACTAGTTTAATATGACTTGTTTCATTATATTTTGCAATGATTTCAATTTAGATTATTTTTTCCAAGCCATAATCTGTCTGCAGGTGAAGAGAGAATTTTACTTGTTAAAAAAAACCCCAACAACTTACCATATTTTTTAGACTATAAATCGCACTTTTTTTCATGGTTTGGGTGTTTCCGGCAGCTCATTCTCTGGTGTGACTTATATATTAAAATTTTCACACTGACAGCCTCGAGAGGGCGCTCTAGGCTTGTGTCAGTGTCTGCTGCTCCTATTACTCCTGTACCACTGTCACTTCACTCTACTGCGCATGTCTCCTGCAGAAAGAGCCCCTGTTCTGTCTGTATCATGTCAGTCAAATCACCATTAATTTAAAATTTAAGTCACTTCAATGACAACTGAAACCATCCTGTCGGGATTCAGAAAGGTCGGAATAATTCTAACTGGAACTGATGCTGAGTCTGACGACAGCTACACAGAAGAGGAAGAGGCGCTCCGTTTACCTCTGGAGGTCGCGGAGTTACTCAGAAGTGACACCGAGGATGAAGAATTCAGTGGATTTAGTGATTTGGAGTGAGATGGAGAGTTTGGTAAACTTGTTCTGTTCTGGTGTTTATGCTATAGTTTATCTGAAGAACTGTTCATATGTGACGTTAACCGTCTGTTGTTCTCTATTCTATTGTTATTACTAGAACTTGCCTTTCAAGATGAAATGTCAGTTCCTGGTCTCAGATTTTATAAAATAAATTTCTCCCAAAAAGTGCGACTTATAGTCTGAAAAATATGGTACTCCTATTCTGTTTAAACTTGCACTGGGTAACTTTTCTGGTGGAAGGTCTACCACTTGCTTGTCTCCATGGAGATATTTTTTTGCCTTGCTTATTCTACATTAATCACATTGGAGACACATTACTGGTCAGATCTATGGAGAAGCAAGACTGCACATGGTAACAGTTCATGTTTTTAAAGTATTTTTGAACTATAAAACTACTTAAATTTAACAAATACAAGGGAGATATTGTATTTTTAATGCCATACTGTGAAACATTCCAGACAAAGAAATAACATCTCCATGGAGAGAAGCAAGTAGTAATAGTAGAAGTTACACACTGTATTTAAAATAAGTCCCAGTTCACACCAGTAAAGTCTTACAATATGATAATCTAGACCTTTATATAGATTATTTCAGCCTATTCAAATTACTCTACTGAAGTCATTTTTGTCATATTTGCAATGCACGATAAAATTCAATTTACATCTTTAAAAAAATAAAATAAAATAATCAAAGAGAAAATTCCGATATCTCCAACTTTTGCACAGTAATCCTTCTCCCTGTACTTGTCCAGGATGTGCTCTTGGCTATTGTCTTACCTGTATTCAGTTACATTACAGGATCTTTCTAGCCATACCTCCTCATTCCGCCTGGAATTGTGCTAAAAATGTCTTTCCAAAATCTCGGAACGCATTTTTCCGTTGCAACACAAAATCGCCAATCGCCAACCGCGCTCCGATTCACGCCGTAGACGGTCCCGCTTCGGTTTTAGCGTCTCTGCTCGTCCCACACTGTCCATTATTCCTCATTTCCACTAGAAAATTCTCCCCTCCATCCGCTCCTTCGATAGCTTCGCCGGTCGCAAGCTGCTTCATCCTCATATTTATCGATCCGTAAGTTCTTTTGGGTCGTACGAAGGCAGCTCTCCGCCTGTACATCTCCCCTCTGCAAATGGACACCATCAGCAGTACGGACAAAAACATCCCCCCCAGAGTTAGCAACCCCAAACCCGCTATGATGCATTTATCCAGGTGCGATCCCAACTGGGCGTAGTACAGCTCCAGTTTCTCCATCTGGCGAGCCGATATCGTGTCCGGGTCCACTTTGGCCTCGCGCGGAATGGTGTACGCTATCACCACGAGCACGATGCCGCTGACGAGGAAGACCAGAGCGAAGATGAAACCGTAGTCGGCGGAGTGGTCGTCGCCCGGGTGCTGGTGATACTCGCGGAGGTCGTGGGACTCGGCGGGATCGGCGGCGTCCTCGTCTTCGTAGCACAGGTCCTGGGCCGGTTGCTGTGGCGATTCGGCCTGGAAAGACACAAGGAGAAATGGGCGATCCTTGTAGTTCATACTTTACAGTCATGTCACATTTATTTATTTATTTATTTATTTGTTTGAGCAAGGTTAGGGTTAGGGTTTAGGGTTAGAAAGAATGAAAAAGTAAGAAGAATTTTGGTTTTAATTTATGGTTGTACAAACTAATAATAAATAATAATGATAACAATGGCACAAATGTTTATGGTTTATGATCGTGCAAAATAAACCACAATAAAAAAAATAAAAAAAAAAAAAAAAATTGGGGTGTTCTTCATGTATCTCTATAGTGGAATGTTCAGAATACAATAATCTGTCATTTTAACTTATAGTCAAATTACTATTCTGAAGTTTGTCCATAATTTCCACATCTCAAGACTTCTGCACAGTCACCATGGCAACACAATACACAGATTCTGGTCAGAGTGAATTAAAATGAAGCTAAAATTAAAGTCTAACGAACCTCAAACAAAAAAAATCAAAGCAAAGCAAATCACTGTCTCTTTGAATGATTGGACCAGTATCTGATGGCAACAGTGAAAAGAAACCCACGTTAAAGGTGCCGTACCTGATTCTCACTGTCTTAAAATCTAGTTCATTTTACATTGTTTGCAGTGGTCCAAACTCATTCTCCACTTTTCAAGCATTAACATAATTCACTGTGATGAGATTAAAAGCACCTTTCATGACTTTTAGAGACCAGATGCAAACAGCAACTAGCAGGCTAACAACACAGCCAATAAAAACTATTCATAACTAGATGTAGGCAGCACACAGTCGTCTCATTTTGACCCTAAGAGCTGCTTTTACAATAAACCTATAACTGCACACTATAGAGTGGGACAAATTTACTTTAATAATAATAATAATGCATCAGTTTTATATAATGCTTTTTTGGACTGTGGGCTTCTACCCTGTGTTTTTAAAGTTTCATTCATATGTTAATACGCCCTGTAATTTGCCCTGTTATATGCTGTGTATGTTTTTTGGACTTTGGAGTGTCAATGGTGAATGTATATGGGACAGATAAGGGGGGTATCTCCAACCTTTAGCATATGCCAATCTGTTATGGGACACGTGTTGGGACAAAGTGCTGTGTATGTTTCCATGAAGATGTTAACTCAACAGTTATGCTGGTATAAAAGGCATTCAGTTTTTCTGTGCATCAGTGGGGGAAACGCCGACCGCGTTGTCGAAGGACGACCGACGCACAGAGAGACGCCGTGTAGGCAAAATCATGCTGAATCAACTTGAATCTTGAGACCTGAATCTGCCTGAACTAATAAAGAGACCTTTTCTAACTCTCCAAGCCTCTTTCTTAAGATCTTCTGTTTAGGCTGCCTCCAGGAGAAGCTGACAGGACACTCAAAGACGTTTTACAGAGCATTATTCATTCACTCCATACCCGGTGATTGTAAACTACTACTGTAGCCATAGCTGTCCTGGGGCAGATTGACAGAAGCGAGGCTGTCAATATGTGCCATTGACCCCTCCGACCACCACCATCACTCATGCACACACCATTTTCATACAAGGCAATGTGGGTGCAGTGCCTTGCCTAAATACACAATAACAGTTTTTGCACCTGGCGCCCCCCTGTGGCACCTGATTTTCCCATCGGTCTCCATCCAAGTACTGACCAGACCCGGCCCTGCTTAGCTTTGACAAGCCGGTATGGCCGCAAAGATTTTATTACGTGAAAATCTGGTACAGCCCCTTAAAATAAAAAATAACATTGAAATTCGTTTCAACAAAAGAAATCTGATTGATGCTTCAGTTAAACCTGGTACTTTGTGGTACATCCATAAACATTGATTCACTACAACAATGGAATACTATAAAGATGTTCATTGACGGTGGACAGATATGATGGCTGGAGGGAGATTCAGTGTGGGGGTTCTGTCTCCAATCCAGAATGTTTTTTTTTTTGAAGATGACATCTTCGAACTGGAGGATGGGCGAAGGAGTTGAGTCAAGACATCTGACACGGAGGGTGTTGTTGGGACAGGCCGTATAAATAGAGCTTCTGGGTAATTGAAGGTGTGGTTGAGATAAGCCGTGGTTGGGTGGAGTGGAGGTTGAGGCGTAGTCCAGTTAATCATACTAACTCCATTTAAACTGTTAAATGTGGACTATCCCAACTCCCGATGCCATAGTTCCCATATTTTAATTCAACTAAAATGTTATATTGATTTTTATTCAGCATATTAAATCTACACTATGTAACTTTTCTGGCAGATGGAGATGCTATTGCTTTTCCAGGAATATTCCACGCAGTAAGCATTCAAACATACAGTATATCTACATGAAGCTATGCCACGGGTATCATTTGTGGAGAGGCATACCTGCTTCACAGTCAGACGACATGTTTCTTTAAGTGTCACTTGAATAAATGCAAGACAGATCGGGTTAATACCAAGGATGTTGCAATACTGAATGACGCTATTACATAAATGGGCTTTTCTTCCCTAATGGCAATGACGATAATACCAGGACTCATCATTTCAGCAGGCTTTTATCTTCTTATCATTTTTGTGTCTTTTTACGACAACTAACTGCTCAGCCTGAATAGATTTTGGTCACCCTCCACGCACTCTCAGACCGCACTGTCCTTGTTTCTTTGTTAAGGCCGGAATTAATCACATATGGTCTATTCACCGTTGATAAATACGCCGAGCCTTTTATTCTAAGCCCACGCACTCGATCTGATTTACGGCGAGCGATAATATTTCATACATCTAGTTTCTCAGCCAGGTCTGTTATGTTTTGTCACTACATCATTTACAGACACTATCAAAAGCGTTTACCTGTCAAATAAAATGTATCCAGTACCAAAGATGACACCTTATCTTACGCTGTTCGTAAATTACCTTTATATGTCGCTACCTGCACAGTCAATCTTCAAGGTGCACTTATTCTAACTTGATGGAGATGGTTTGGCTTTGATTTGGGTGTAATTGTTCCACAGTTTGACATTAAAGGTCCCATATTACACAAAATGGACTCTTATGAGGTTTAAGCCGTGTTATAATGTTGTTACCTCCTCAAAAACAGACCTGGAGTTGTGTTTTGTTTCATTCACACATGTTTGAGGAAAGCTTTATTATAAGTCTGTCTACGGCTACGTTTATATGATGACGGTCTGAACAGAAGATGCAAAAGTGGCGTCGCGTCTTCACTTTTTATTCCGAGTTTAGACAAGTGTTTTTGGGAGGAAATCTGCGAGGATACGGTGATGCAAATGTGTGTGGAATTCGATTGAGTATGCATACCAGGCAGCTCGATGGTGACGTTAGGCGGTGATGTATATGACATAAATGCGTACATGACCTGAGCAGATCTGACCAGAGTTTTGCGTCTTGGGCAGTGTAGACGAAATGCTAAGGTGGAGCGTATTCAACTTTTCCTCTCTGGAGCGTGGTTTAAGATTTTTGCATTTTTAAGCCCCCAAAATGCCGTCACGATCTAAATGAAAGGCACTTCTAATAAAGTATTTTATAGTTTTTACCCGCAAGCGTCCTCATGTAAACAGGCCCTACATCTCCAAAGCTCAAAATGCTCTGTTCCAGCTTGTGATGTTCATGTGGTGGTAGTTTTCAAGTTAACAGCTCCTTTTACCTTTAATTCTGTAGTAATTGGCAATTCAAGGGCTGAAATGATCAAAAATGATTCTAGTGAAAGCGTATGGAGTTTAAAAACCTAGTGAAGCACTTCCTGTATTATCACATGACACACACGGTGGAACAGAGTGGGTGAGTGTTTTTCATTTGAGAAGAGCTCAGCCTAAATATGCAGCGTTTACGTGTTAAACATGAGCAAATGAAACAAAACACAACTCTGGGTATGTTTTTCATAAGGATACAACATTATATTTCTGTCTATTACATGCATTCTCAGTGTGAGCAGGGTCGCCTCTACACAGATCTGACGTGCAAGCTGGCCTTGTCATGCATGTCATTGAGATTTAATGTCATACTCCACACAACAAAACATAACTCCAGGCCACTTTTCCCAGACGAAGACCATCTGGCTGGTCGAAACGCGTTGGCGTCCCTTCATGCAATAAAATACTTTTAATATATTCAGTCGGAGTGCCTCGGGTTTGTATCTTGCCCACTTTTACATTTTCCAGTAAGGGCAACATTCTGTTTAAATAACTCCAGGTATGTTTTGATGAGGTAACAATATTCTAACAAGACTCAGAAGATGTGTGTATAATCCCTCAGTTGTCCAAGCAGAATCCATGGCAGAAGGAGAAATTCAATTTGTCAACTGGACAAAAGTTTATTTGGTCCAATACAACAGTCCAGAACTGAAGAAGCAGCTTGGATGACCAAATAAACTTTTGTCCAGTTGACAAATTGAATTTCTTCTTTTGCCAAGGCTCACAAGAGAAAATTCTCTGTTATTCTGTAATATCACATTGCCAGAGCTACAACGGAATATTTTTAGTCATTTATCAGAAACAATCATTGTAGACCTACCAACGACACAACCTACTATATCTGAACTGACCTTTAACCTTCTAGCTCTTACCTTTGCATTACTGTTGGCGGAGGTTGAGGGCACACAGTTGCTGATCTCCTGCAGCTCCTCATCCTGCAGGTAGGAGGCGTTGTGGAAACCTCTGGCCCCACTCCTCAGTGGGACGGGGCCCGGACTGACCCCTCTGTCGGCTGTCCTGCCCACAGTGGCCAGCTCCTGCAGCTCCACACCGTTCATGGTCCTCTCTGACCAGGCATCACTGCAGAGAGAGAAGTGGGAGTCAGATCACAATTTTCAACAGCATGGAAGGAAATGACCACTGGAGACAAAGGATAACTGGTCGATCAATACCAATAAGGGATGTGTTGATGTATATACCATGTTAAGACAGTCAAAGTGCTTTACATCAAAGTATTCATTCAATCCCCACACCATAGGTCAAATCCTCCAGCTAAGGTAGTCCTGATCAAGACTTGTAGTTCAAGATCTGGAGATGAGTCCCTGAGTGTTGCACTGCTCCTAAAAGGTCACCCCAGTGGTACTGAGTGATTTTAGAGGTCCTATAGCAATGGAGTGGTTGGCTTCTTTTGTGGCTACCTGGCTCACACACTTAACAGTTTTGGAAACTTTATGTTTTATAAGCCCAGTTTTTAACGTCATATCATGGGATTTTAACCAACTAGTGCAGCATGTGAAGTTCAAAGGACACAAGAAAGGGACTGTTGGATTGTGTGAAATTAATTGTTTGTCTTTCCAATATTCCAATTAGAGGTGAACTAAGAAACTAACTGTTGAGATGTTACGGGCTTAGACCATTTGTGGCAGCATATGTGGCAGAAGACTAGCCAGGCTGGCACCAACTAGTGCCTCCACTCAATTTAATTTCTCTCCAGTGACTAGGTCAGGAATCAAAATACACTAGATGGTTTGCAAAAACCCCAGAAATGCGAGTTCGAGCACCAGCCAATCAGAGAAGAACCATATATTCTGTGTTGTCAACGATTCCCGAGATCGAGGATTTAAAGCTGGAACAAAGATAATGTTTTGTAAATTTCATCAAGGGGAAAGACGTTATTGCCCTTCTTCCGACGGGATTTGGGAAAAGCTTAATATACCCGTTAGCCCCATTACCAGTGCATTACTTCACGATCAAATATCAGCAATTGGTTAAATGATAAAAAGTACCCGCCTACCATCAAGCGAACGAATTCCAACGCTGCGAGGTCAGACGAAGTGAAACCAGTTGATGAATCAGGCTCGCAGAAGACCTAACTCACCAACTAACTAACTAACTAACAGAAACTGTAAACAAGTAGATGTGTCAGTTTCAGAGTAGTTTCAGTGTAGTTAGCTCCTCCCTTTAGGCTGATATAAGGCAGTGTCCATCAACAATTTTGATCAGAACTGAAGAAGCAGCTTGGATGAGCTGCGAAACATATTCAACCAAATAAACTTTTGTCCAGTTGACAGATTAAATTTCTTCTTTGCCACAGACCTCCCAAAGGAAAGAGTCTGAGAATTTCCAGAGGGAATACCCAAAGAGAAAAGACCATTTTATTACCAACCAAAACACAAGAGTGGTGTAGAGTGATGTCTTTCCTGTTATGTTTACCTGGCTCCCCCTACAGGCTGCTGTGACCCAACCTGATCAGTCCTTCTGTTAAATGCACCAAGACCTTTGACTAAGACACAAAGTCCACTGAGAAGGGCACTCTAAATGTTGCAACAAAACTTGAATTTTCCTCAGGATCAATAAAAGTATATCTCTATCTCTCAAATGCAGATGACAAATTTCACTACGAGGGACAATAAAGTGAACCTAAACTCCCGCAGTCACAGTCGTCTGTCATGGAGCTTCTTGACCAGCCGGAAACACACACTGTGACAAAACTTTACAAAGACGAGTGGAGCCGCGTCCTGTCTCTTCAATCTCCTCTTATGGATTTTCTCAGAATCAACAGTACAACAAAACAGTAAACGAAGCCGTACATTCTGTGTTGGCAACGATTCCCGAGATCGAGGATTTAAAGCCGGAACAAAGAGAATATTTGGTGAATTTTATCAAAGGGAAAGATGTTATTGTCCTTCTTCCTATGGGATTTGGGAAAAGCTTAATATACCAGTTAGCTCTGTTAGCGGTGCATTACATATGTCACGACCAAATAGCAGCGATTGGTTAAATAAAAAAAGTATCTGCCTACCGTCGAGCGAACGAATCCTAATGCTGCGATGGATCAGGCTACTAAACTATTACTTATTGAGTAAAAGAAGTTGTATGTTTTGTTCTGAATGTTTGGAGAATTTCTGAAAGGAGATGTATTCTACGTTTGAGAGACACGTGATACAAATTAACAGCTGTGGTTGGACCGTCTCAAGTTTGGACAGACGTTTTTCACACTCCGTTGTCCAGTTTCAGACTTTTCTGGATTGAAACAGAATGTAGAAGGGACTGGCTGGTCAGGAAAACCATGGAGAAGACTGGTGGCTGCCAATCTGCTAATTATTCAAATGATCCAAATAATTGTTGAATACAATATCTATGACTATTATACATTTAACTTGTACATACATCTGAAATACAGCCACATTATAACACGCCCTATATCAGATCGTGGCCTCTCCTTTGTTCAGACATTATGGATACCAGGGAATCATTCATGTACCACATAATTACATCGCATATCAAAGCTCTTCTCCGACAGTGGTTTGAATATTAAGACCAGGATTAAAAGTGTAACCATAATCCCCAGTCACTCATTCAGCTGAGTACGAGTAAAGTAGTCATGTTAATTATCACTGCCAGTACCGCTAATGTACTTATGCCGAGAAGAGTTTGAAAAGTGAATAGTAGAAGACAGTAACATCTGCTGCATGGAGATGTTAGTGCTTTGTCTAAAATGTTCCACAGTATGAGGAGATTGGTTGAGAGCCTGTCTCTTGCTGCATTAAAGGAACAGTATGTACCTTTCTGAAGGTGGCACATCACCTGCATAATTCTGTGGAAATAGAAAGTTAAAACCATTTGGGAAAATTCTCCATGGAGATAGAATTTTTATGCCAGTGTAACAACATTTCTATGGAAGCAAATATCAGAAAGCTCTCCTCCAGGTCAAATATGAGCCAGGTTTGTGTAGATAAACATAACCAAAACGTTAAAAAAAAAATATATATTTAATTTCCCTACAAGGACTAGCTCAGGAATCGGAATACACTGGATGGTTTGCAAGAACCCCGGAAGTGCGAGTTCAGGCACCAGCCAATCAGCGAAGAGCCAAACATTCTGTGTTGGCAACGATTCCCGAGATCGAGGATTTAAAGCTGGAATAAAGAGAATGTTTGGTGAATTTCATCAAGGGGAAAGACGTTATTGCCCTTCTTCCTAAGAAATTTGGGAAAAGCTTAATATACCAGTTAGCCCCGTCAACGGTGCATTACATACGTCACGACCAAATAGCAGTGATTGGTTAAATAAAAAAAGTACCTGCCTACCGTCAAACGAACGAATCCTAAGTGTTTGACGATGAATTTATGTGGAGTCTTGTATGTAAATGTAATTCAAACATGTTAATAAAGATGCAGAAGAAGAATGTAACAAACATAATGCCACATTGTGGAACATGGCAGAAATATCATTACCATGATGGAAAGACAATCAAGTGCCAGACTGTCATTCAGTAAAATCTAACCACTTCTGTTCAGAACTGATGCAAATTTTTTCTAGCCTGATTCATCAGCTGGTTTCACTTTGTTTCACTTCATAGAAACCGTCTGACCCCACAGCGTTGGAATTCGTTCGCTTAACGGTAGGCGGGCACTTTTAAAAAATTTTACCAGTTGCTGCTTCTTGGTTGTGACGTATGTAAAGCTTTTCCCAAATCCCACAGGAAGAAGTGCAATAATGTCTTCCCCTTGATAAAATTCTCCAAACATTCTCTTTGTTCCAGCTTTAAATCCTCGATCTCGAGAATTGTTCCCAACACAGAATGTCTGTCTTCGTCTGTCTACATCCAACTCGACCACTTTGTTTACTGTTGTGTTGTACCACAAAAGGGACCCAGACAGGCGCTTGAGTTTGACGTCATGGCTTCATGACACAAAAGCATAATTTAAGTCTATTTTTTTTGGGGGGGGGGCTAAAAAGCTGAATATTGTGACTTTAAAGACAAAAAACATTGTTATGAATTTGTGAGTGTTTGGTGATTTGGTATTTTTATGTAAATGTAATACAAACAGAAGAACAAACTTATTGCCACACTATGGAACATTGCAATAAAAATACCATGATGGAAAGACAATCAACTCCATCTGTAAAATATAGCCACACTGTTTAGAAATGTGTTACTTATTTTAATTTTCTACACATTTGGTGGAGTGCCTGCTGGAAAATTATAAAAGAGCAAAACTTCTCACTTGTATGGTAATTTTGAATTAAAGCCCAAACAAAGTTAATCCTCCTTCAGTCACGGGTTTGGGGGCCTGTACTCAATGAAAAGGATTGTGGGTAATATGTAAATTAGACTCACTTGATCTCATTTGGTATAGAACTACAGCAGTCCCTCCTGTTTTGTCTTTTTTTTGACTAACAAGTTGCATATGATGGCTTTAAAGACAATTAGATGATACATTTTTTGTATGTGAATGTATTTTATAAGCAATACAAACACATGTTATTGAATAGGCCTATGCAGAGGAAGAATGTCATATTGTGGAACATTGCAGGGAAAACAATACCATCATGGAGACACAATCAAGTGGCGGACCCTCAATCAGGAAAGTTACACAGTGCCTCTTTATGTTACTGCAGGGGTCACGTAGCCTATAATAGTGTCCATATAGGCCTATTCATTGACTTGGACAGTCTATCCGTGCACGGTGTATTCCCGTGTTGGCATAAACCCACTGACACACTTTCCTTCTCCCTCTGACCCCTCGCCTCTCCTGTGTCACGTGATCCACCTTGACCTTGCGATGCGCCAATGCCCAAACCCTCCAGTGACCGTGCGTACTGTCTCCATCTGCCTCCCCCCGTGCGCGCGCGTGTGCATGTGCTCGCGCGCGCACGAGATAACATCGCCCTGAGCGGCACCGATAAGCCACGGACACTGGCGACTCGTATCTGTCATTACGCGCGACGGCAGATAACGCGCACGAAAACGAGATGCGATATCGCGAAAATTACGCATTAGCGACGCCGAAAGCGAGGCAGCAAACGAAACACCGGCTGTGTTCGGACACGCTCGTTCGGCGGCGTACACTCTCACAAAAAAAAAAAAAAAAAAAAAAAAAAAAAAAACGCGGAAAGGGAGCGTCAGTGCCCCGTGGAGAAAACATGGGAACGCGCGGTGCCCAGGCGGTAAACTGCGGTCTTACCTGGAATTGCGCGTATCGTGGCGGGCCCCGGAGATGCACGTATCGCTCCTCCATCTACGCGTCCATCCGGAGAGAGCGGTGCAGGGCTGGTGGTGCTGATGAGAGCCGAGTGAAGAGACGCTTTGGGCATGCGCAGAGGCGGCGTGGTTCAGCCCGGTGTGAGGAGCGCTCAGGAGGACGCGATGAGCAGGAGAGAGAAGAAACAATGTGTACAATAAACATTAAAAAAAACCCTATCTGTTATATAATTTTCTATTTGTGCCATATTTAAATTATTGTGTAGGAATTTAGGGGAACAATTACCAATCACAAAAGAACTATACAACCCATCTTTATATTGCAGAAAAAAGCATAAGAAGAATTGTTAACTGTGCCAATTATTATGCCCCAACAAACCCACTGTTTATTCAGTAAGAAAGTTGTTTTTTTTGTGTTTTTTTTTAATTCATATAGCACTTTTCACAGACATTTGTCACAAAGACGCTTTTACAGATCATATTCATTAACTTCATACCCAGTAGTGGTAAGCTGCTATTGTAGCCACAGCTGCCCTGGGGCAGACTGACTGAAGAGCAGCTGCCATGCCAATCTGCACCATAAGTCCCTCAGACCATCACCAACACTCACACACCACTTTCATTCTAGGCAATGTGGGTGAAGTGTCTTGCCTAAGGACACAATGACCCCCACTGTGGCACCTGCTTTTTCCAGTGGTCTCCCATCCAAGTACTAACCAGGCCCGGCCCTGCTGAGCTTCTGAGATCTGACAGGATCAGGCTTTGGCTTTGGTATGGCCATAGTTATCCAGTTAAATACCTTAAACTTACAGGACATTGTTGACCAAAACACAACTGCTATTATGTATAAAGTTCATAATCACGTGCTCCCTGACTGTTTTCAGGTGAGAATCAAACCCAGAGACACTTGTTATAACTTGAAAGGAACAGGAGTATATATAAATAACAAAATTGTGCATAAAATATGAAAGTACATCTTGCCAAACTTAAAATAAGAAAAATAGCAACTTTTTTTTTGCACTTAAAATAAGAAACAAAATCGAATGTTGCTTGAATTAAGAAAAACACACTTATTCCATTGGTAGATAATTTTACGTGTTAAGTTTACTTATATACGTTTATAAGTTTATAAGTTTACAGTCTACTCAAATAAAGTAAAATGTTCTTAATTCAAGTCATTTAATTTACCTATAAATATATATATATATATATATTTTCCCCAGTGGACCGAGCACTGTCCCTGTCTCATAAATAAACTAAATAAATAAAAATAAATTGAAGTTATGCCATTTGAAGGACAACACATTTAATAATAAAAGACAGACACAAAATGGGACAAACTAATGAATATCTGAAGGAGCAGGGCAAGAAACACAGATATTCAGGTTATCTCGAATTGTCAACATAAAACTCATCACCTTCTTAAAGACTTAATCTTAACTGGAAAAGTAACCAAAACTTCCACTTCATTAATCTTAGATGAATATTACACCTTATTAGTAAATTTAGTTTATTTTTATTTACATACATTAGGTGGAGTTCTATTATAGAACTCCTTCTGGAAAAATATAAAAGAGCAAAATTTCTGATATAACTTTAGTGAAGCTTAGACCCCAAACAAAGTCCATCTTCCTGTAGTCATGGTTTTGGACGTGTGCTTAAGGAAAAGGCTTCTGGGTAATATGTAAATTGGACTTTCTTAACTACTTATTTGGTAGAACTATAGTAATCCCTCCTTTTTGTCTTAGTGAAACAAAAATGCAATGACAGCAATTATCTGTATCTGTAAACTATAAGTGTTTGGTAGAATTATTGCTGACAAAATGAAGTTAGTGCAAGAATCCTTTTATTATTTTATTTACATTATTTCCCAAATGATTTGAACTGAAAAGAAACAGACAGACGGACAGATCGACAGCATTTATTCCAGGATCATAACAAACATCAAGAACCCTTCAGTACATTCAATTAAAGGTCAAGGGTCCGTCACGTGCTCGTCCCCCTGGAGATGTCATCGCTAGAAATGTTCCAGTGGCATTTAACGTCTATCTGTCTCCGTGGAAACGAGAATGTGGCACTGCCAGGGCAAGTTACACACAGATCCGACTGGTGAATTAAGACATTTTTCAAGGCATATAAAGTTAAATTAATGCCAGATAGTTATGTTTAATGCCAAACATTTTAGGCAAAACAACAACATTTTCATAGGGGCAAAGAGTTGACAGACCCTTGACAAGAAAAGTTACATAGTGCAGCTTTAATTATCTGGAAAAGGAAAATAGGGCCCGGTGAATTTCTGTGCATATATGAATATAATATTGTTAGTATGACATGATTGTGACGATAAACCTTAAAGTGCACTGTGTAACTTTTCGGTTGGAGGTCTGTCAACTACTTGTTTCTATGGAGACGTCATTGCTGTGCCTGAAATGTTCCAAAGTGTGGCATTAAACAGCTCTACCTTATATTTAGTCAATTAAAGGTGGTATTATAGCTCAAAAATAGCTCAAAATTAGACATTCTGACTGAGTTTGGTCGCCTCTCCACAGATCTGACCTGTAACTTTGCCTGTTTTGGTCTCCATGATGATAGAAAAGCATTTGATGGACCCTCCATCAGAAAAGTTACACAATGCACCTTTACATACAGCATGATGAGGTTATATTATTATGATTACGAAACAGACGACACATTCTCCTGTCTGAAAACAAACTTAAATTTTACATTCAAGGCCCTGTACCTGATTTTTAAAAAGTCTGGTCCGTCTGATAATCAGGAAATGCGCAGTTTGCATGCTAGTTACTGTAAACTGGCCTCTGAAAGTTATGAAAAACTCTTATAAACTAAAAAAATGCAGTGAATAATTAGGATGCTTGGAATGCAAAAGGTAAACGAGGAATAACTTTGGACCTCAGCAAATAATTTAAAATCAAAGTTATGTTTTTAAGACAATAAAAATCAGGTACTGTGCCTTTAAATAAGACACTGTAGGTGAATCGGGGCGCTCAACGTAGAAAAACAGAAAAGCATTGCATATACATAACATTTTGGTGAGTGTAATTTGTGGTTTATTTTGATCCACAGGTCGTATTAATCAAAGTAGTAGTTCTGCACAAAGTAAAAGGTGTTTGATTTAAAATAGGGGGTATAGTTGTAGATGAGAGCCTTCTCCTCCTCCTGTTCACTGGAAAACTTGTGCTGGTTCTTCCTCGCTGAAAAAGACAGAGAAAAGAGACGATATATAAAAATTCTTTAGAAAGACTTGGCGGAGTTAGCAATTTGGGGGCCCTAGGCGAACTTGAGTTTGGGGTCCTCACTATAATGTACCGTTTTTCTGTTTTGTTTTGTTTTTTATATATACATATATATATTTATTGTCTGTTTTTCTCCATTGTTCTTGAGACATGTACATCTCTATTTATGTGAATTATGGTGGATTGAAAACTTGTTTTATTACTTCGTTCGCCTACTAGAAAACCAGAAAGAGAAGTACTTTTATTTTTTGCTACTATAATAACATTTTTGTTTACATCCATTATATATGATGATAATATTTTTTCTTACAACTGTTGTTTAAAAGTAAACTTCTCTCATTTAATGTCATATTGAGAGAAAATGAAATTGCTCTGAGGTCGTGATGTTACGAGATGTGCCGAGGCTTCGAAGTATGTGTCTGTGAAGCGCGTATCGAGACTTGTTTCATTTGGGGGAGGAGTCAAAAATGATGACGTCCGAAGTCTCGCTGCCCGGCTGTACCACGCGATTGCTACGGGAAGTGGTTCAGATTTGCCGCGAGCTATTTCAGCGATATAGACCCTCAGGCTCCACTCAAAATGTGTGTATTTGAAGGAAAGTTGTGGTCAGTTGAGAGTTTGGACAGGGTTTGGAGAGTTTGGATACTAGAGGTGGATATAGTTTATAGTCTCTCCAAGGCCAGAGAGGTTGTATTAAAAAAAGAAATAATTTAAAACCAAAAACTGTTGAGAAACTCTTGTTTGTGTAAAAATGAATAAAATTCTCCCTGTTCTGTACGTCATTGTCCAAGTTACACAAGCATAATCTGTGCCCTTTTCCTAGTTCCACAAGCACTTTCACTGTCCTCTGCCTGATTACACCTTTGCCAACAGCTTAACCTGCCATATTATGATATTACCATTTTGGGAAAATGTACACACACAGAATACATACACAATTTATTATACACAGATTTCATGACTTCCGGTTATGGAGCGAGAGGAGTAGACTCACGTTTGCCTGCTCCCGCATTAGCTTTATTATTTAAACCTTTTGGACCTCGCAACTTCCTCATATCTTGCATCTGTTGATTCCCGATAGTTTCTTTTGCTACTCTGAATATTCTCACGCAGTCATCATGTCCAAGTCCAAAGGAAAACAAGCCGAAAAAGACGTGGCTAGCACGGCTAGCGCTAGCGCTAGCTTAACTTTGGAGGACATTTCATCGCTCTTAGAAGGACATAGAGAGGCACTTTCCTCAGAGTTCAAGTCCTCATTCCAGTCTCTCACCTCAAAACTGGATTCTGTAGAAGCTTCCATTAAGGACCATGGGGCCCGTATCAGATCATTGGAGGACAATGCAGACTCGCTCGATCAGCGCCTGACATACGTGGAGGACAAGTGCCGCACTTTGCAAAAAGACAATGACTGGCTCAGGGAGAGGGTGGTGGACCTGGAGGGACGCAGTAGGCGTCAAAACATTCGTATTGTTGGCTTACCTGAGAACATAGAAGGTCCCCGACCAACCGCTTTCCTCTCTCAACTTCTGGCTGAAGTGTTTGGCCCCAGCGTGCTCCCTACTCCCCCGGAGATTGATCGTGCGCATCGGACCTCTGGCAACAAACCCGCACCCGGAGCAAGACCGCGCCCTGTGATCCTCCGTCTCCACCGATTCCAGGTGAAAGACCTGATTATACGGGAGGCTCGTAGAAGAGGAACCCTGTCGTATAAGGATCATCCGATTCGCTTTTACGATGACTACAGCCCGGAGGTTTTGAAGCAGCGCAACGAATACCGCTCTTCCATGGCCGAACTGTACAAGCGAGGATACCGCCCGGCGCTCCTGTTCCCAGCCAAGCTGCGCATCACGACGCCGAGCGGGGAGAAGAAATGGCTCTTGTCAGCAGCGGCAGCGGATAAGTTTGTTCAGGACTTGGGCAACGGCTCCTAAACAAATGTGGTAACCACTCTATTCTTTTGCTACTATATAGTGGTTACTCCTCTATGACACTCACTGTTAATGTGTCAGTTTGTTACCGCTCTTGAGGGTTATAAATTTATCTGTCTGTTTTCATTGATAGAGGGGAGACTTGAGCTCGCGGTCTGGTCCGTGTATACTGTAACACCGCACTACTGTATATACGCAGCGAGCGCTTTTATGGTATAGGTTAAGTGAGGTTGAAGGGGTTAATATTCATCATCAGGTTTTTTTTTTTTTTCTCATTATTAAAATAACATTAATAATTGTTATTGTTGTTCACTAATGCGGTTGCAGAGAGTTAGGAATTAGGAAGTTTTACAGTATGCTGATTGGTTTATCAGAGTTTCGGTTGTTACCTTTTGTAACAACTTTTCTTTTTTCTTTGTTTTTTTGTCCTCTTTTTGTTGTCTTTTTTGCTACTTTATTTTATCAGTTATGTGCTACAAATTCTGTATCAGCTTCAATCACCGAACCCCAATATAAGCCTGTGTTACTTTATAATGAGGTATGTTTAGTCCTAACATCTCTTTGGCACCAGGTGGTGCATTAAGACTGGTTAGCTGGAATGTGAAAGGGCTGAATTCCCCAGTAAAAAGGAAGAAAGTAATTAATCATTTAAAACAGTTAAACACAAGAATCGCTTTCTTGCAAGAAACACACTTGAAAATGGCAGATCACCCTAAGCTTCGTTTTGGGTGGGTGGGGCAATTATATCACTCCTCCTTCAACAGCAAAGCACGGGGTGTTGCTATCCTTGTTCATAAATCTGTACCGCTTTCAGTGACAGAGGTGATATCAGACCCCAATGGACGCTATATTATAGTTTTAGGTAAAATCAGTGGAAACAATCTTGCTCTAGTTAATGTATATGGGCCAAATTATGACTGTGAGGACTTTTTTAAGAAATTGTTTTTTTCTCTTCCTGATTTGAACGGGAGTCAACTTATCATTGGTGGCGACTTTAACTGTTGTCTCAATCCGGTACTTGACCGTTCCTCAAATAAACTATACCCCATGTCTAAATCCTCTAAAGTCATAGAACTATTTATGCAACAGTACAGATTATCAGATGTATGGCGGTATTTCAACCCCTCTGCCCAGCAGTTTTCTTTTTTTTCTCCAGTGCATGGCACATTTTCACGAATAGATTTTTTCCTGGTAGACAATAGTTTGCTTTCTACAGTGAAACTTCTGCGAATACACACCCATAGTAATATCGGACCATGCACCTGTTACTCTGGATATTTCGCTACCAGGCAGCACCCTGTCGCGGTCTCCATGGCGACTCAACCCATTATTACTCAATGACCTAGAATTTGTTAAAGTTATTGGTGAGCGCATAGACCTTTTTGTTTCAACTAATGTCACACCAGAAATTTCTGCAGCCACGACATGGGAAGCATGTAAGGCTTTTTTGCGGGGTGAGATAATATCTTTTACAGCTTACCAAAGAAGGGTTGCATCTCAGAAGAGCAATGCTCTTTACAATTCTATATCTGAATTGCAAACTAAGTGTGCAGAATCCCCTAACACAGAATTGATCAAGGAGCTGCTCATAAAAAAGGCTGAATTTGATTCATTGGCCACAGATAAGGCTGTGCAATCACTGACCAAGACTCGTTATAGTTACTATGAGTTTGGGGATAAGCCTAACAAGATACTTTCCCACCAGATCCGGCAGTCAACAGCAGCTCAGCATATTACCGAAGTCTATGTCTCTGATGTACTTACAATTAACCCACAAACCATTAACGATACATTTAAAGACTATTATTCCTCCCTATACACAGCTGAGTGTCTGCCAGATGACAACTTTTATGAAACTTTTTTTTCACATTTTACCATTCCTACAGTTGCACCAGATAGAGCTGCTGAACTGGATGTGCCTTTCACCGCTGAGGAACTCAGGAATGCTGTCATGTCTATGCAGAGTGGGAAAAGTCCTGGTCCTGATGGTTTTCCATCAGAATTTTATAAGGTTTTTATTGACAAACTGTCCCCCCTGATGCTCAACATGCTGCGGGAATCCACTGATTTGGGTGTCCTCCCGGTCACTTTACGACAAGCTACCATCTCCTTTATTTTAAAGAAAGACAAAGATTCCCGTTTCTGCAGCAACTACCGTCCCATCTCATTGCTGTGTGCAGATATTAAAGTTCTGGCTAAAATGCTAGCAAAGCGAATAGAGTCAATAATGCCTACAATAATTAATCCAGACCAGACAGGCTTTATTAAGTCCAGACATTCGTATCACAATATCAGGCGCTTTATGGACATCTTATACTCGCCTTCAACCTCTGACACCCCCGAAATAGTAATCTCCATGGACGCTGAAAAGGCTTTTGACCGGGTAGAATGGCCCTATTTATTTTACACCCTGAAACGCTTTGGTTTTGGTGATAAGTTCATATCGTGGATCAAATTGTTATATGCTCGGCCCATGGCACGAGTGCGCACTAATAATAATTACTCTGAATATTTCTCCTTGGGCCGTGGAACTCGGCAGGGTTGCCCCCTGTCCCCCCTCCTGTTTGCAATAGCCATAGAGCCACTTGCAGCAGCCATCAGATCCAGCTCTATGCATGGCATTTTGAGGGGTGGCTCAGTACATAAAGTAGCCTTATACGCTGATGACCTGTTACTNGAGCGAGAGGAGTAGACTCACGTTTGCCTGCTCCCGCATTAGCTTTATTATTTAAACCTTTTGGACCTCGCAACTTCCTCATATCTTGCATCTGTTGATTCCCGATAGTTTCTTTTGCTACTCTGAATATTCTCACGCAGTCATCATGTCCAAGTCCAAAGGAAAACAAGCCGAAAAAGACGTGGCTAGCACGGCTAGCGCTAGCGCTAGCTTAACTTTGGAGGACATTTCATCGCTCTTAGAAGGACATAGAGAGGCACTTTCCTCAGAGTTCAAGTCCTCATTCCAGTCTCTCACCTCAAAACTGGATTCTGTAGAAGCTTCCATTAAGGACCATGGGGCCCGTATCAGAT